CAATCACAGTTTGCTCTACCTAGTATTTGACCAATATCGGCAAAGTGTTTAAAACAATACCGAATATAAAACTATTATTTTCTGCTTATCAATCAAGAAAGTGATATACATGTAAAATGGATAAGGTCATCTTATTTTTTTTTTTGAAAAGGTTCCATCATTCATTATATTTTCACATGTTCACATTTTCTTAATGGATGATTGTTAAATAATTATATCCAGTGGGGCACATATATAAGTTATCGCATTTGCCACACAAAAATGTAGATACAACTAATTATGAAAAACAATGTATTTAACTTACATATAACAAATTCTTTTGGAACTTCAAGTCTTTTATGATTTATAAAAGGGTTAAGTCACTCATCTTTATCTATAACTATGCACTTCATTAAAATATCCCTCTGCACTAGAAAACTTGTTTTTTTCTTGTTGGCCTTTTGACTCGTCAGCAGACAGAGTTTTATGGCTTCCGTTACGCATATCCACCATGTGAATTATGTTCCTAATATCTCAGCTCCACTCAATTCACATTACGATATTCTCTCTCTCTCTCTCTCTCTTGTATAAATTCTTTAGTAATGGAAAGAAAGAGTGTGACACATTTAGAGATTGCATGGTATCTAATCCACAAAGCCTCACTGCAAACAGACATTCCTTTCTTCATATTCGGCTCTTACCATGTCGATAGCTACTTCTACCTTCTCTGGTTCTCCTATTGCTTCCCACTCCTCTGTTTCTTCAGCTTGACAATCCCCTCCGCCTCCTTCTTGTATTGTTATGAAAATTGACTCACACCAATGTTGAAGGATGGAAATCTGAAATTGCATAATTAAAGGAGATTATTCAGCAGATCCAGCTTTCCTTTGTGGACATTAGGGCATTCCTCCCCCTCAACTGCAATTTCTAGTATGAGACCCCCTGTGAACAGCATGGGAGATAATCCTAAGATCTAGAACAGAGGCCTGAGGAAATTGCGATTGAAGGGGGGAACGTGCATAATGTTCACATCATCAACAACAACACAGAGGATTCTGACTCTGACACCTCCGACAATGGTTCTGCACAAATGCTCCTGGAACCTTTCGTTGCTGCCTTGCAAGTTCTTTATGGATCGGGCTCAAACAATGAAGGCGTCTAGACTTTAGGGGGAGATTTTTCTGTTTATCGTTTGCTGCTTTGGACTATATTTTCTGATTTACTTATAATGACTTTGGTTTGCTCGGTCTGGATGTGGTCATACTTTCTTTTGGTGCCTTAGTGGTTGTGTCCAACTTCTTGGCTGAGTTTTGATGAATAAATGTTATCTTCCTCTTTGTGTAGAAAGGTACTTGTTATTTTTGCAGGCACTCTTTGCCAATTTGCAATTTCAAATTTATGCGGAGATTGTTGAAGGATGGAAACCCGAAATTGGAGAATTAAAGGAGATTACTCAGCAAATCCCGCTTGATTGGTTTCAAGCTCAACGGTCGCGTGGATGCCTTGTATCAATAGTTCATGCGGAGCTCTCTCTTGTCAAGCTTTGTAATTGAGAGTGGTAAAGGGCTTGGGATTACAAAGTGTACTACTACTTTAGAGGTAGATGTTCTAAATCGTGATAAGTTAGAACAATCGGATTAGGGAAATGGGTTTCTCGGTTTACTCGTTCCTTTAATTTTCACGTTCTTGTTTGATAGAAGAAAATCAATAAAAAGAGCCTCCTACAAATCAGTGGGCACTGATTACAGGACCTGGAGTAGCCAACTTGGCGAGCGAACCACGTTAAAAATCTTGTGTGCCTTTCTGCATCTCACTATTTTGTTTTGCTTACTATTTTTCTAGTTCATGCTCTTGGAAAAAATAGATTTTAGAGTCTCTATGAATATGAAGGTTAGAAAAGCAGAACAACTCATAATTTAAATCACTCCTACGTTTTATCTCCATTGGGCCAGCAACTAAGTAAGTGTTCTTTATTTTATTTTATTTTTGTATTGGGCCAACTATTTAAAATACAGGCCCAATCATTGTGTATCTGTTTTGGTTTCATGGACTTCAAACAAGCAATTGAATTTGATGTGTGTCACAACCCATTTATTCATAGAAACTGGATATTGAGAAAAAAAAATTGTTTTTTGCCAAATATTCAATCATAAGGAGTTGGATATTGCAAGTGTTGTTATGTATTCTTTGGATGTATGGGGATAGATAAGATTTTCACAATTACTGTTGACAATCCTAGCTTGAATGATACTGTCATAGAAGAATTGAAAAATATTTTTGCTGATAGAAAGATTAGTATGTGTGGTGGCAAATTCCTTCACGTCAGGTGTCTTGCCCACATAATGAACTATGTTGTGAGGGATGGATTGTCAGAGATATATGTAGTTGACACGAGAATCAGGGAGCAATCACCTGCCAGAATTCAAAAATTCAGTAATTTTGTTGCTCTTGATAATACGAGCAAAAGTTTTTTGGGTCTTGATGTTCCGACGAGGAGGAATTGACCTCTTTTATGTAACAATCTGTTGTGAAGTATGAGTATGCTTTATATCTTGATCGGTTGTCAGATAAGCATTTTAAAATTGGTCTTGAAACTAAAAGTGGAAAACCGTATACTCATGATTGGGATAGTGCTAATAGACTAATGAATTATTGGAACAATTTTATCACTTCGCCTTAAAAGTTTCAGGTTCACAATATATATAACTTCCAACTTGTTTCTTCCTGAAGTTGGGAAGTTGTATAATTTCTTGAGTAATTGGGTGGTTGTAAACCTTAAGGATTACTAGTTAACTTCATGACAACGACATTGAAACATAAATATTAGAAGCATAAGAAGAGGTTGACAAGATGAACAAGTTATTATACATAGCTGTCGTGTTAGATTCAATGCAAAAGTTTTGCTTTGTTTTTTCACTCTCAAGCGGCTGGTGATTTCGCAAATGAAGTTGAGGAGGCTACGTATGAGTTGTATGATTATTATGAGAATCAAATAGAAGTAGGTGAAGTTTCATCCTCCTCTCAAACAGAGCTAGATGACGATGGTGGAAACGTGGATCTAATTGCGGGGTATATGTAGCAATTGCAAAAGGAATGAGGTGTAATAAATTGCAAATGAGTCATTATATAAATTATGTCAATGTAACAAAAAACTTCCAGCTCGGCAGTTAAATTGTCACGTTATAGTCAACTAACAGTTTACTAAATGTAAGATTAACGATTTGACTATTATTTGTTATATTTGGTTCGTGCAAACTTTCTATTCCAACAATTTTAACCCCAAACAGTACAAGATACCAGCTGATATCTACATCTATCTACACAATATATTATGCACTTCACTCTATGTCATTGTTGCCACCTTGCACTTTGATTGGTTCTCCTTATTTGGTGGAAGGGCAACTTTGACAATTTTTCAAACACTCAAGGGTCACTCATTATTATTGGACTTTTGGTTTTCTTTTTAGTAAATGTGATTAGGATTAAGGAAAAAGAAGATTTGTTTTAAGGTAAATGCTACATAATAATTATTTGAATTTTGCTCTGTGTAGATTTATTTTGTGTGGTTAAGGAAAAAACAGAGGCTATCTAAAGTTGTTTAACTCCTAAATGAGATAATGCTTGCGAATTGGATTTTGAGATGATAAAGATGATATATCGTTGTGGCGTGTATGTTTGGGAAGAGGTTCCTTCGGAATAGGTTTTTTCGCATTAGGGTTTTACGTTAAACAGATAAACCAAGCATCAACCTTCAAAAGTTTTAGAATCTTAATTTCACAGTGATTTCGGCAAACATGAAGAGGAAGAAAGACGGGAAATCTTGGCAAAATACAATCAATTTATATTGTTTTAAATTCTTTTAATTTTCAAATTAGCATGTCTAATTTTTAAATTAAATTTTGAAAGGTAAGATCACATGTTTAGTCGTAGTTTAAACATTAATTCGATACATATCGTACCGACTCGATATTTTTGTCGAATTAGATCAAACAAAAAAAAAATTACTCTATGTAATTGCTTAAAGTCGAGATAGTTTTTATTAGAAAATTATTAAACGTAAAATATGGTCCAATGGAATAACTTAAATGCTTCTTCAACCTAACTACGTTGTTATTTACATCTGAATAGTTCCATTAACGATTAAAAAATAGTTGTATGATGATAAACCATTAATCATGAGTCATTGAAAATTTTCATCCGACAACCGCTCCGCTTTTGAAAATATAGGACATAGTCAATAAAATATTTAAAATATGAGCATATTGTTAAAGGTTAAGTTTGAATTATGATAACTAAAGTTCAAATAATTGAATAACTTAAAAGGGCCATTTCAAGTCAAAATATTCTTTTGCTAATATTTTTCATTTTTGTCTCTTTCAAAAATATAAATTTAATACATCTATACTAACTTTTTTGGATTTGCTTTACATAATTGTCCAAGTACTCTATTTCCATATCACATTTTTTTCTTCTCGAATTTTTGTATCTTTAAAATATTTAAATGTAATACATCTATAGTAATATTATGTACATTATTTACTTTTTAATTCAATAGATGACAATCAAATATATTTAAGTTAAAGTAGTAATAAAATTTTCAAAGCTTCATTTGCAAGGTAATTATTCACATATAACGAAGTTAAAAATTTTTGTTGACCTTTTCTTTTATTCAGTGATGTTTAATATTTCAAGGCATGAATATAGATTCTAGATAGTTTTTTATTTCATTCGTTGTCTAACTTAAAGTTCTTATATTTAAATATAAAATGAAATACAAATTGAATAAAATTATAAAGTTAACGGCACTAAAAAAATATAAACTATCAAAGTACTCTTTTGTACCACACAATACTAAAAATCGAACCACTTACGTTTAACTAAAAAAATACCCAAATGACCACAACCCGGCCAACGGGCCGGATACAACACTAGTTTGTAATAAGCGATAATTTGGGGCCAAACTTGGAACCCTTGGCATATTAGAGGTATTAATTAACCCATTGAACTCATGCCAATGGTGTAACTATAATTACATGTGTATATATATAACGATCACAGCAGACTAGAGAAGAACAAGGAAAATATATAAAACGAAATTGCTCTCATAGGACTAGAGAACAAGCTTTTATTCTTAGTTAATTCATGTATGTCCTTGACCAGGCGTATGATCAGCTCACATCGCCTGAACCGCAGCCGCCAGGCGAAGCATACTACTTTCCCCAACTGATGATGAATGAGCCACCAATGGTCGCACCGCCTCGAACGCCGCAGCCGCCGTCACCGAATTCAGAGCCTCCGTCGGATGGAACCAGTCCCAAAAAACATAACTCGACCTGTCGGGACACGGAGCTTTGTCGGGGACGCATTGTCCGCTGCTCACCTCCACGGTGCAGCAAGCGCAATCCACCACCTCCAGCGCCTTGAGCTCTGATTAATGAAAAATCATGTATATTAATTAAATCATGTAGTAAAATGTAACAAAAAAAAAATATATATGTGTAAGTAGGAAAAGGTGAAAGTTACCGGTGACGGTAGTCGAATTTTTCTGCCTGACCATCATTAACATGTCGGATCCAGACCCGATGTAAACGAATTGGGCATCGGTGAGTTTTGCCTGAAGACGATTAATCGCCGATTTCAGCCGGACGTTGAACAGCGCGGCGGCGTCGTTTAGCGCCTCGGCGCATCCAGAAGCCGACCCGTTGTTACCGTAGCGACGGATCGCAAAAGGAACGCATCCAATCTGGCCCAACGCAAACACGCCGATTTTCCTCGCCCCAAGCCCGTACAGTCTCTGGTGCGGTCCAGTGGCCCAACCATAGAAAGGAAGAAAAAAAGAGTCATGATCCAAACTAGAACTGCGGTGGCAGAAGTATTGGGCTGGGCCGGGCCCATACCTGAAGCTGCTGCGCGTATCGGTTAGCGAGCAGGGCTGTGAATCGTTTGACGGTGTAAGTGCGGCTGGTGGGATAAAACTCGGGGCGGAAGTAATTGTTGAGGAAATCGTTGTTGCCGGCGCCGAGGGTGTATAAGCACTGCCCCAGGTGGCGGGAGGCGGCGGCGGCGCCGGTGATCTTGGCGAGCGCGGAAACGGAGACTCCATGGTTGTCCAATTGTACGTCCAAGGGAATTCGCTGGCCCTGTTTTTTTTTTTTTTAACACAATTAGTAGTTAATTAGCTGAAGTTGAGGAGCTCTAATGGGTTGCTACAAGTTTACCAGTTGCGCCCCTGTTTGTTGGAGGATCCCGGCGGAGCCCGACGCATAATTCACGCCGGTCAGAGTGTCGACGTCGGTGGCGGTTGCAAATGGGGGGATGGGACACTCAAAGCCCAAGTACTCAGCTGGACTTGCAAAAAAAGTGAAAGACAAATTAGCTGTGGGCCTAAATGGTAACTATGGGCCAACCCCTTTTTGGGTGAAGATTGTAGCCCAAATCCAGCTATTCATTGGATCATGAGCATCAGTTCGATTGGCGTAGTTGCACTTTTTGCGTGTATATTATTCCCTATGAATGGTGATGAGGATTTCAGCTAATTAGTAGGTACTATCAAGAGATTCAATGTAATGAAAAGACATTGATTATCTCAAAATCAATTATAATATATCACTTCAACTAGTCATTCATCAATTCACTGCTCATTTGGTTTCGGAACTTATTTTACATGTAGTGTATAGCTTAAATTAATCAATACCATCGTCTTTGAATAGTCAAGCTAAACTATGAATGGTTTCAATAGTAAATAAAATAATAGACCAATAATATAATAATTATATTGACATACAAAAATATTGAGTTGGATAGAACAAATATTGCTGGCCTTCATAATTTTTAGTTATAAGTTAGAAATCATTTTTGAATGTCTAATAGATTGAGAAATCTTTTAGGTTTAGCGATCACAATGTTAGGAGTCTTGAATTTAGATTGTCAATGTAATTTTACTCATTGGCTAATGTAAATATATATACGTAAAACTATATGCATGAATGGCAATGGTAAACTAATTTATGCTACGTTAGGCAAATGGATGCATGATAGTCAATTGTGTCTAATTAATTTATGGAATGCAGAAACCACTTATCTTGATAAATAAATAAAAAATTGTCGAGTTTGAATTAGGTGTGAGGAAAGGACGGACCGAAGAAATCGACGATGTTGCGGCCGTTAGTGAACCGTCCGGTTGGACCGCGGGGGAAATCAACCCCATAAGGCGAGTAGTCGACTTTGGCAACGGTTTGGAGCATGTTGTTGTTGCCACTGTCGGCCAAGGAGTCTCCGAAGATGTAATAGCACGGCACCGCCTTTTCCCCGTCCGCAAACGACGACAATCTCGCCATTACCATCAGCGCGGTGGCGGCGGCGGCGGCCACCCAAACACGCCTTGAAACCATCTCCAAAAGTACAGACACCAAAGGAAGCATATAAATGTTGGATGAGGATGTGGATTCCCTTTTGATAAATAGGTATATATAGTAGAGTTGGGGTAGATATGTCAATATAGCGAGTGTTACGAATTAGTGGTTTTGAATAAGTAGTGAATTGGGTTATATATAAATGTGGCATATGGATTTGATTTATAGAGGAGTGATGAATTGGTGGGTTTATAGATTTGAATCAAATATATTGGTGATTTTCTCAGTGCAATATTATGATCTTACCGTCATGGTAAGACTAACAACACCATCATACAACTGTGATATCATTATTTGTCACTATAGTGCCATTAACCATTATGATATGACCAAAAAGTAAGATGACGTAAATTTTTCCTCAAAAACATCAAAATAAATATAATTTTGTAGATATGCACTATGATAAGACTTTGTATCATCTCACTAATGTCATACCCACATCATACTGCTTTCTTTGGACTCTACAATAAATATCATATTACCACTGTCATAACAGGATCTTATCACAATGGTAAGATTACACAACACCATCACACCATTGTATCATGATATGACAATGATAACATGACTGTGAATTTTTTTGTTGAAAACAATATTAAAATAGATATCATCTTGTAGATAAGAAAATTCTTATTTTTCTATGCAAATCTTTTTGAATTTCGAGTTAAGAAGAATTAGATATAGCTCGTTAAAAAAAATTAGATACCAGCTAGGTAGCTACACTGATGTTATTATCAAAGTGAATCTATCATAGTCATGGTTCTATTTGTTTTTCAAACTTATATTGATTTTACCTGTTGCAACTCGAAGTAAACTTTTTCAGATTGGGTTACATAAAGAACAAGTTTTGAAATACAATAAGTTTCAGTTCGTATGATTATCTCATATGATATATTGAAAGGAAATTGTTGAACATTGTAGACTATCTTTCTTTCTACTGTGTTCATGTTCGCCTTCTCGACTATCTTTCTTTCTTGGTTGTGATGTTGCTATTTGTTCTTGGGCTTTTTGTCTCATGGTCTGTGAGTAGGGATGATTATTTTGACCTGGCTCAGGTTTTTTCCGACTATTTGGCATGTTTTGAGGGGGTGATATCCGTCCGTAGGCAGGGCAAACATTGGTAGTCTCCCCGACCCGACCTGTCCTGACCCGCCCATTTGTAACCTATTCTTTCCCAAATCACATGTAATTTTATTCAAGTTACTTAGAATTTTATGTTTTTACCTAATATTTTAGTTATAATAAAGTTTAAATAGGTGAGAACCTCAATTTTTCGAATAATGTAACTATATTCATCATGTTTTAGTTTGTTTTTCATTTTTTCTAATAAAAAAGTAAACATTTTAATATTTTACGTTTAAATTAAATACTTTTTTTTTAAATTACATACTCATATGAATCGATCTGTCCTGATTCGTACACCATAATAAATTATCCAACTGAAGAACATAAACCAATAATGAGAGATATATGAAATTATGAATATCAAGATATACACCCACATTGCATCATAAGTCATACCACATGACAACCATATTCATACATAGCTTTTGTTTTAGTTTCTTAGTTGTCGTTTTGCCCTTCTCGAGAAAAATAGGACAACACTTTTTACTGGATGAAACAAAAATAAAGCAAAACTTTTAAACAACTATTTGTTTTACATTGCTCTCCTTTTTAACCATTTTTAACTTTTTGGGTACATTTTAGTGTGAAAAGGTTAAACCAGCACGTCGTTACCACTTACCAATGATTCATTCAAACATAAAGAGATCAGGAACATTAAAGTGATTGTTGTTAGTGATTAAACTTTAAGATGACACGATTGGATTGCGGCCGGGAGTAGAGAAAACACAAAACAGTACTGTGCATGGCGTTTCGTTTCATGAGCCACAAATCGCAAGGTCGAAGATTGTACCGGCGAAACCACATCGCCATCAACCATTCATTTCCCCTTTCAGCTTTTGTACTTCCGCAATGGCGCCTTCAACTTTAACGAGTTCCTGTTCGGTTTCCTTCCGAGGCTTCACATGTGTTTTGTTGTTTTCTTCAGCGTTACGTTTGTACCCAGAGAAATTAATGTAGATGTCTTTATTTCAACAAATTAAAATGTACGTACTCGGTACTTGTACTATAGGATGTTAGAATAGACTTATATACAGAAATATTGAAAACAACTGTAGTTCTGAAGTCATTCGGGCCAATCACTCTCGTTCGCTTTAATGGCCGCCGGAAAATGTAGGTAGAGCAAATCAGTGGAAGAAATTGATGAAGCGTGCTTTTGGTCATAGGATTTGTGAAGTACCACTACAAAAAAAAAGGGTGTATCGCAAGGGTTTTTTCAATTTGTTGCAAGGGTTTTAACCCCTGCTACAAATTGTAGCAAGGCTTTTGACAACCCCTGCACGAACCCTCGCCAATGCTGCCCCTGCTACATATAGCAAGGGTTTTGAGCAACCCACATTGAAAGTCTCATTCAAGGGTTGTAGCAGGGGTTTCAACCCCTGCTACATGATTCAAGGGTTAAAACCCCTGCTACGCGTCGGTATAAACTCCAGCCATAAGATGTTCATAGTGAGGGTTAAAACCCTTGGTAAATTTGTTACTAAAACTGCCAAGGGTTAAAACCCCTACTATATTCGTGGCTAAATCAATTGCAACGAACTCAAACTGTCGCTAAAAGATCTCAAAACGGTCGCTAAAGTGAACAACCATGACTAATGGCTATAACTTGGTTGCAAAAAATCTAGTCACTATAAACAAACGCAGAACCTGAAACTCAATAGTAGCCAAACCAATACCATACACTATTCCCATTCATATTCCATCATTCATATCATAATTCATGATCCAAGAAAATATTGATTACATGGCTAAATACTAATTACCATGAATATTCCAACATAATTCGGAAAAGTATGGTCTAGTGATGAATTTCTATTTGCTTAACCATAAAAAAAAGTTCTAATTTCTTCATCTCCTTCATGTTTGAACTTCACCCCAACTTGATGCAGCATTGAGGATTCAAAAGAGCCACTGGAATCGAAAATCTTAGAGATCTACTGTTGCATCTCTTCAGCTTCTAGCACTTGTTGCTTCTAAGTGACAATCCACAGTTGGTTCTAGCAATAAATAAAGGAGAAATATTAACTTCTAAAAACCTCAGAGAGCTGCTGCTGCGACAAGGTTAAAAAAAGGCATGACAAGGATTCAGAACAGCGACTGGAATTGAAAACCTGATAGATCTGCTGTTGCAGCTTCAAGTACTTGTTGCTTTTAAGATCTCATCTGAGAACACGAAGGATGAGTTGTTGCCATCCATATTAAACTCCAATAGAGGCAACACATGAAAAGGTGCCTCCAAGCAACTGAAAACATCACTGTGTGCATAAGAATAGGTTCAGTCACTACACACCCCTAGCAATACCAATACTAGCAGCAAAACACTTTGTAGGTGACACCAAACAATCCAATAATGGCCACTACAACTTGGTCATGCTTGTTGATCCATTCATAATTACCCCAGCTTTCTAGAAAAATTATTCTAGAATCTACCCCAGCTTTAAATAAACACAGTCCTATTTCTTCAGTTCCAAACATCAATTATATTAATTCCAATTCAATACTCTTACTAGTGCAAGTTCAAACAGGACAAAAAGATAAGAGAGACATTACCGGATTATTTTCAGCATCTTCTATCCAATTTTGCCCAAGAAACTTCTTACTGATGAACCTCGCCATGGCCTCGATTTGTTTCTCCATCTCACTTAACTCTCCTTTCAAAGTTATTACATCTTCATTTGAATGTCATCCACAGCTGGACACTCGCAAACTCTTCCTCTAGTATCTTTTGCTTCTTCAAACCCGAATGGAACAGCAGAATCCAGGGAACCGATCAAGAATTTATCTAACATAGAATGCTATAGAGAATGGGGTTCAGAAGGGAGCTTAAAGCTGTAGTATCTTCTTCTTCTACTTCTTCTTCCAAATATGAGAGTGGGGTTCATGGCTTTCTACTGGAGGCAGCGATAGAGCATCTCAATCCTACCCAATATGAGAAAATGGAAGCAATAAAGCTAATTAACTCATCTCAGTCTGCAACTCTTCCTATTCCTCTTCGGTCCTGCTATTGCGATCACGTTGTATACAAGCAATAGCTAATTAGAAGTTGATGGTAAATTGCCATTCATAACAAAAAAAAAACTACCTATAATGGGTAACCGTGCAAGAGCATAAAATAGAATGAAAAGAAAATGAAAGATGATCTGAGCATACCACTGCAACACGAGTAAGCCTCCCCTTATCTTCTACTCCTTCAGGTGTCCCCTCGAGCCCTAATATGCGCGTACATGCACTAACAAAGTGCCTTGTGTAATCATAAGTTTGGAACCTGGAACATAATGTAGCATCCAGCCATCAAAAAATAAGAACCCGGAATACATTCTTAAAGATTGTAGTAAGCTTGCTTATATAGAAGTCATGGAGAAACAGGAATAAGCATACGACTGCATCACCCCATAGATGGAGAAGGGGCAACTCCATCTGTTAGTGCCTTCTGTCCACTTTCATCAGGTACGTGCACATCGCCCTAGCCAATCCACCTGGCATCGAGTTGAAATGCTAAAAACTGAATCTGTCTTTTTCTCGGCGTGCTTATAAAAGATCCAATAAAAGAAAGTTGAGAATCAACTGAACATGGATGTCAAGACTTGGTAAAGATTTAGAAATTCACATATGGATATTGATGAACACTTGTACCTCGGTTGGACTAGAAATCTGCCACTCCTGCTGTCACACTGATATGCTTTAAGAAATCAATTTTGGAATTACAGTAAAAGCCATAGTAATTTTATGATTTAAAGCAACAAGTAGAAGCTCTTTGCTTAGAATTTATGCTCTCTAACTTAAGCTTGTTAACAACAATGAGAATTGATTACAACTAGACTACATTGACAGAGACATTATATGCTTTAGAGGGCATGATTAATTCATACCCGATAGCAAGTTGGCAGCTCAAAACCAATTATGAAGAAACCTCGTCAACTGTACCTTATGAACAAGCCCAATACTGACTTTAGTAGAGAATCCACATTCAAACTAGATAATCAAAATACAAAACAGAACTTGCATAGGAGAGGCAACAAGGATAACCGTATTCAAAGTTAGAGCTTGAAAATGAAGTTAAACTGAAGGAACG